TGGGTCTCACCCCTGGCTGCAGTCCCTTGGGGCTGCCGCCTCTTTTGGTGAGGCTGTGTCCCAGTTATTCTAAGGGGAGGGGACACGGATGCTCTGAAGAGTTCCCTGCAGGGGCTGTTCTTGCATGTATATATGAGGGCAGAAGCAGCGTTTTCCTGGCTAGAGAGGGCTGTTAGTAAGAATTCCTACTCCAGAAGGGAGGGAGGGTTAGGGCTAGGGTTTCGTGTTCAAATGAAAAGGACCACAGTTAGGTAACCTTCCTAGAGGGAAGGAGGACTCCATGGAAGGCATTCCAGTTCAGTTTGCAAAAGGAGTCAGGAAAAAAAAAACAAGATCCAAAGAGCTTCAGACCACCCCCACCCCCACCCCCACCCCTTTGATTGGAATGGGACAACTCGTCAACTTGCCACGGGACAACAATTAATTATATATATATTAATTTTTGCCATTCACATTTCTTTCTGTCCCTCCTTTTGCATCCTTTCTTTAATGATTCTGTTCCTCCATTTCTTTGATATTAGTGTGACTCTTGCCCCGCGATGAGTTGTCCTGTGGCGAGTTGTCACAGGCCCCTCCCAAACAGTTCAGTTCAAAGTGTGTGTGCTTGTAGGCTTCACAGAGACATTCGTTCAGATACCCATGAGCAGTATTGGCCCTTGGAGTGATCCAGATTATAAAGCGGCACAAAAGACCTCTTGCGACAGCATTATAAGTCGGATGGATCTTTACTGTAAACAATATAAGAGTGAATGCAGGCAAATCTACCTGTCCCAGGATAATGTTGCAGCATCCCGTCTGGGTCAGTCACCGGGACCAGGGGGTCACTCTTCCGAGCTTTTGGACACGTGGGGGGGGGGCGTCCTCGGGGAGAAGTCCTCTCTCTCTGCCTGCGACACAGGAGGGAACTTCTCTCTGAGGATGGGGGCCCCGGTGGAAGAGTGAAGCCCTGGTCCCCGACCCAGACAGGATGCTGCAATGTAGGAGTGGTTTAAATCTTTTGATAAGAAGGGTCAAGAAAAAACGCCCTTTGTGCAGAATTAAGTGTGCCTTAGCCATTGGGCTTTAGCTGGAAGCCAACGCGGGCCTCCTACCATTTCATGTAAATCACAAAAGGGCAACTTTCAGCAGTTCTTTGTTTGTCCCCATCCCCACCGGCGCAAAAGAGCTGGAAAACTGAGCTGCTGGGAGGCCAAGTGCCCAGGAACAGGAGCCCCTCCAGCACCCAAAACGTTTTATCTTTCAAAAGTCAAATCCGGCTCCCAGCTAGACAAAAGTTGTGCTTCCCCTCTCCCAAAAAATCCAGGCACATACACCCAAAAGTAATCTCATAACATGCAGATGGAACTTACTTTTAAGTAAGCATTCATAAACACAAACAGTTGTTTTATAAAAATCTCTTCCAATCAGTCTTCCCCTTAATGAGTGCTTCATGTGGTCGGAGGGAAATTGACAGAAGGAGAAAGAGGTCAGCTTCAGAAATTACCATCATTTTGTTTACTTGATAGGGTTTTAAATTTATTAAGAACAAATGGAAAGGGAAAGAAATAAATGGAGGTGTAATTTATTGAGAGTAAAAAGAAACTAGGATATATTTATGTAACAGCACAAATGAAATTTAATTTAGTAATTGAGAATTGTTGTAAATCAAGTGTATTTAATCAGTATAAAGTCAATTTCAATAAACATGTACTTTGCCTATTTCTTAAAAAATTACTGTTCTTAGCATTTCTCACAGCTGCTGTTGTGTTGCATTTTATGAGGTTTTGGATCATTGTGTGAAAATGTAAATATTAACCGGAGTTCTGATTAGAGTTGGGCAATAAAACAAACGAGGTAAATATTATTAAAATCAGATGTGTCTCATATCAAAATAGAAAATGGGCTTGGGCCAGTCTGTGTGTCAGGTTGACACGCGCAGCTTTCATTTATTGTTTCAACTCTGAAGGAAAGCTTGTCTTCACAGCCACACAGGCCAACCTCCCTTTATTTGTGCAGACCATAATCAAGTAGTAAAGCAAGCCAAGTAGCTTACTCAGAACCAAGCTGGCCGAAGGTCGGTCCCAGGCAAGGCGCCCCAAACGGGCCCGCAAGACCAGCGGAGCTCAGTGGGCCGTCTTTGGCCCCGCTGGCTGTGCGGGAGATGAATCGAGGGAGGAGGAGGAGGAGGATGGGCAGTCCCAGGCTGTGTGCTGGAGGGATGTGCGCTTCCGCCATCGCCACTCCTGGTGTGGGATGCAGAGGGAGAAAAGAGAAAAGAAATCAAAGAGCAGCAGCCGAGTGCAAAACCACCACCGGGAGAGTTTGTGTGCTTTCCCAGAAGGCTCATCCGAGTCCATGCTGAGGAGTCAGAAATCTGGTGGGATTAATTCTTCATATTTTCTGAGCGCAGTTTAGTTTTCCAGGGAAGTAATTGGTTGTCCAAAAGTGCTCCACAGGAGACCATTAATTTCTTGTTATTCCAGCTAATTCACTTTCTCTCTTTAACGTGCTGACTTGATGCAGGGAGGGACCCCTAGTTGGTTTCCTGCTGAACCCCCTAACGCACCAAAGTAAGCTGAAATTCCCCAGGCTGAATTTGAATTTTTTAAAACATCTATGGAGGATTTGCTTTCTTTAAACTCTTGATTTAATTTCTCTTTCTGTTTAAATGTCTAAAAGGACAGCTGCGCAGTAACAGTACAGCCATGTCTCTAGATAGGATGTGCAATCTGGGCTTGTTAGAAGTGAAGTCGCTCCTGAACCCTGTTCTGCTTTTACATTCCCCTCCCCCCCCCCTTGCTGATACAAACCAGAAGCTGAGCCCGATAACCCCTTCCCTGAGATTACAGGCAGACTGGCTGTCTCCTGCTTTTCTGCCCTCCCCACCCCCCCCCTAAGGGAATCAAACCTTTTGTTTAAGATTCCTTGGCTGGGGAGGAATTGATCTGATTGACCTTTAAAAAAAAACACCTTTAACTTGTTCCTGAAAGCCAGGCTTCCCTATCTTTGGAAAGGCTGGCTGGTGCTGCGCTCTCTTCCTCCTCTTCCTCGCTGCCCAGAGAAGTGGCAGTAGTAGCTCAGGCCCCTGCCCACTCCTTGACCGCAATGGGCCTGGTGACCAGGGAAGGAGGGGGGGCGGTCTTTCTGTGGCCGGGCAGTCAGGGAGCCTGGGCGGAGGCCTGGGGGTGGCGGAGGGTCAGGCGCTGGGCCCGGCTCACTGATTGGGCAGACCTTTGAAGGGTAACCTGAGCAGGATCAGAAAGGAGGGCTTTCCTGTCCTTGAGCAGCAATTTTGGTGGGAGTTTCTCCAGGCTTTGATCAAAGGAGGAGGAGGAGGGGGGGGGAGGGAGGGAGAGCTCTTCCTTTGCAGAGGCCAGGATGGGTGGGTGGGATGGGGCTCCTGATACTCTGCCCAGACTCCTTCCCGGAGGCTGCAGCTGAGGGGGGGTGGCGGCGAGGGGCCCTGGCGTGTGGGGGCCAGAGGCGTGCCCTCTGCAGCACAGGCAGGCAGGGAGGCTCTTGGGCAGGATGGTTTTTCTTCTCTGCAGCTTTTCCACAGAGGGCAGGAAAAAGCCGCCTGCCTCTGTTCTCTCCTCCTGCCATTCCAGACCCCAGAAAAGGGGGGGGGGGAGGAGGAGGAACACCACGCCTGGCCCTTACTTCGAGATGGGCAGCAGGTGAGCTGGTGAGGCCTTGGGGTTCCTCCCCAGCCGGGATGTGCCTTGAGGCTGTTTCTGTGCAGTCTGAGATCCTCGGAGCCTCCTGGGCTGAAAGAGGGGGGGGGGTTAGAGGGGCTTGTTAAAATCTGAAGGGGAAATTATTTCTAGTGTGGCAAATAAATTGGGATCAGATTAACTTAACTATTTTAATTGCATTTGCACATGGGGTTGACATCGGGACTATTGCTTAAGTAACACTGAAAATCTTTATTTGAAAGTTATGTTGTATTATTGCATATTTTAATACATGTTTTCAGATACTTCCTAACTAGGCATGACAAACTGGGGGCGTGTAAAGATGACCGATCTGGAACATGAAACATCCGTTCTTTTAATACTACGACCTGATAAAATCCCCCGGTGATGCTGAGATGAGAAGCCGAAAGTGACTAATTAGTAGCATACAATGGTAGGCACAAATCACAGAAAGGGAAACAAAGGCACCTGCCCAGAACCGAAATCCCTGTGACCATCTAGTGGTAGCTAAAAAGTAGCAGCATAACAGCCTTGAGATGCGTGTTTCTTAACCAGCAACCTTCCAGGCGTGTGGACTGCAGTTCCCAGTCTTCCGTGCTGGCTGGGGAGTTGCAGGGGACGAAGTCCACAGATCTTAAGACCCCCGAGGTTGAGAGACGCAGCTTTAGGTCACAGAAGGGCAGCAGCAGCCCCGGGTTGTCTGGTGGGGTGGGATGGGGTGCCGTCCTCTGTGCGGACCAGGCTGCTGGAAGGCGTCCGTCTGTCTTTCCGTAGAGGGGAACTGCTTTTCTTCGTCACCGGCTCCAGGTCGGCTCGGCCCCTCCCGTCCTTCCTGCCTGCCTGCCTGCCTGGGTGGGTAAAACGAGGGAGTCAGATTGTTGGGGGCCAGTATGCTGACTCTGTAAACCGCTCAGAGAGGTTGCTGCAAAGCCCCGTGAAGGGGGCACACGAAGTCTAGGCACTACGGCTATCCTTGGGGGTCTTTTCAGCATCCTGTTGTCGTTCAAAGGCAGCTTCTCTTGGGCCAACAAAAGAAAGCCCCCGAAAAGGGGGGGCCCTCAAAGAGAGCCCCCTGGATCTCCACTCTGCACCCAGGGGGCCTGCAGGAAGAGCCACCTCTCCCGTCCGCCTCCCCGGCCACGTCTTTTGCCCTGACCCCAACGCTGATTCAGGGGCAAAGTGGGGAGACGCCGCCTTGGGTCGTGAAGTGCAGGCAACAGAGGCCGTGTGTTCTGCGCTGCTTTGGAAGTCTAGCAAGTTATTGGGCACATAGAAAAAACGGTTATTTACACGATTAAATGTAATTTTTACATTCATTCATTTTAGGTTAATAACATTGGGAAACTGAAAGACTTTCTTCTGCAGCACAGGAAAGATTACATTAATGCTTATAGGTAAGAATCATGATTTAAAAAGTGAAAATGGATAATTGTGACAAAAATATGTATGAATTAATGCTCACAGCCAGTTTCGCAGTCTGACGCTGAATTTAATGGCATGGTAGGAAACTTAATTATCCTTGGAGAGGAAAAAGAAAGTTCACAAGCTGTAAACTGGGGGGCTGTTCTGAAGGGCTGAATCCCAGCGGGTACTTCGGTGCTTTTCTGTGTGAGGCCTCAGAAATAGTGATAAAGGCATAGGGGTTTTTTTGAAGGGGGAATATAACAAATTGGAGTCCCTGGTTGTCTCTTGATTGTTCTAGTTGTGTGGGCCTATAAAGTATGTAAATAAACACGACAGTAGCTCACGTGAATTCTGCTAATTCTAAATATTTTAATAGGCCCTTCTTGTGTCAGGCAAGAAAATGTGGTGACATGTGGAAAGGAGCAGAAATGTGAGAGGAATTTTAGCTGCAACCCCTCTCTTCTTCCACTCCCTCAAACGGCCCCATGACTGAGGACAAGGCTTCTTCTTTGAGGTGGATGTTATACAGTTATACAATACAGTTGAGCTATTTATGGGCTGTCTTTTCCAGCCATCTCATGTCTGAGTATGTGCGAATGTCCGACACTGACCGAGATCAGATTGACCAAGATGCCCAAATCTTCATGAGAACGTGTGCGGATGCAATTCAGCAGCTCAGAGCAGAAGGTAATTTGAGCGACGTGTGTGGATTTAGCCAGATGGGTGGAGAGTTCTTTTGAGCAAAATAACATTCTGTATCGTTTCATTTCAGCACACAAGGACATCCATTCCCCACAAGTGAAGCAGCACCGAGAAACGGTTTTGGATTTCATTGCAGACTATTTAAAAAGTATCAGTTTTTCCTCAAAATAATACTTGTGTTTATGTGTTTTGCAAAATTAGTTTCTGCTGTTGTGACCAAATAAGTAGGATCATTTTCAGATATTCTTTTCCATTTGTGGGCCAAAGCAAGTTCTCCAGTGAGACAGGAGGCATCTGCCAGGAGACTGAAGGCAGTGGCCTAACTCAGCCTGAGGGGACGTAGTTTCTGTGGACAGTGGGCTGGTGGGGACTTAGTGATATGAAACTGAGCAGTCATTAAACAGACAAACAAAAAAGCTTTTTAACTGCTTGGAAAGAGGCAAAGCATTCTTAATAAGTCCACTGATAGTAATGAGCTAATGAAAAAAACGTGACAATATTTTAAACAGCAGAAAACATTTCATTTCATTGGCATCCATTTTTAGTAATGTCTCCATTTTTTCTAGTGCCAAAACAATTTTCTTCCTCCTAAATCTTGAAGTCTATCTGTGTAGTCACTAGGAGTTGAAAGTGGCTTGGTGCCACATGATCATTCAATTCCTGAAATAATTCATCTTCTTTTCTCCAAATAATAATAATAAAAAAATGACATATAGCTAATAACAGAGTCACATAGTTCATTTTTCATAATGTTGGACTAGCAATTTTCTTGCTGCTGTTAAAATTGGAAAATAAATTTGATACTCATTTGTGTGCCAAGCCTTTTTAAAGCAATTTAAAACTATTTGATTAATTTTAGAAGTAGAGTAAGACAATGCAGTTTTTAAAGTGCTCAGTGTGTTTCCTATTTGTATATTATTGCAGTAACTCTTATTTTAACAAGGTAAGCAGTATCCCAATATTCAAAATGTTGTCGGCCAGAAATACCTATGCAAGTTATTTTTAGTTCAAAGGTTTAGCCACTCCATTATTCCAAATATATTTGGAAAAGATAGTACATTTTAACTTTAAATGGAGATTTTTGTAAGATAGATATGTAAATGATTAGATCTGGGAGGTTTTACTGTGGTTATGCTTAAAATGAGAAATAGAAAAAAATAATTCAAATGATCAAATTGCGGTCATCTTTTTATACAGAGGAAGTTGGTTTATTATATTATAATATATATTTCCCCTGGGGTTATGTTGCTCTGCTCTCTTTCGCAGGAGTGTGCAGGCTGTACTCGGAACAAAGAGCGATACGGGTCAAGCGCGTGGTGGATAAAAAGAGACTGTAAGCGAGGCTTGCTTTTCTGAATTGGAAGCTCTTGGCCCATTTCTGTGCAAACTTCTTGGTCTTTCAGAAAAAAACATTTCATTGGTTTCTGAAGCTCTTTGTAATATCACGTAAAACCGAACAAGCAAGCATTGTAAGGGTTTCTTTTTAAATTTACCCGGAATTTTATATAGATTTTTCCCCTCTTTGCTTTCCTATTTTTCTTTTTGCAGAGTGATATGTATAAGCATAATGTAAGCCTCTCGTTGTATTTTAGCTGAATTCAGTGGGATTTCCCTTTTTTTTTTGGGAGCACTTAAGTTCATTACACAGTGTTGCTAATTCAGCACTGAAGGTAACTGTCCTAAGGGTACAAGGCACAAGGGTCCGTTCCTGGGGCTGTCAGTATAATTACATCATGCAGCATGATTAACCAGAGGGAATAATAAGCAGGCCGTGCGGGTTGGCGTGGATTATGCAATCAGGAGAAGTGAGTGAATCACCCTGACTACTCATGCACATTACTCTAGGGCAGGGGTTCTCAACCTTGGCAACTTTAAGACTTGTGGACTTCAACTCCCAGAATTCCATTACAAGGACCAGCTGACCACAAAACTGTCTGGCACACGGGGAGGGGCTCCTCCTGTCCCTGAAAAGACCACCCCAAGGAGGGAAGACTGACTTCCTTGGGAGGACCCCCCCCCATCCCCAGGGCTTTCACGGAAGAAGCTCTTCCCCACGTAGGGCGCCTGGAAAGGGAAGCCCCAGGAGAAGAGCAGCCCTCCCTCCCTCCCTCCCTCCTCCTATGCCTATTCCCCTCCTCTCTCTTTTGCAGCAGCTGCCATTACACAGAGCAGAGAAATAAAGCCAGCAAAGTGATTCTTTTTCTGCCCTGTCTAATAACACCTTTATTGCTAGCCTAAATTAGAAAAGCTTTCTGTAGAGCAACTGTTAAGTCCAGAGGTGATTGCACTTCGAAATCCGGAAATGCAATACTTGGATCCTCCATCCCCAGGTGTCTGCCATGCTCTTTGGGGGCAAAATCAGCCGTGTGCTGAGCTCAGCCCCCTGGCAGCAGGGCCGGAAAGGAGGAGTCCTCCTGGCCAGATGCATTTCAGCTTCTCGATCCGGTGCTGCTTGGTAGCCCCCAGTCCTGACTGAGTTTAGCTTTGACATCCGGAATCATTCCACCCAAAACAGCCTTAAAACTGCTGTTAATGACTTGGCTCATTGCATATTGCAGTATTTAGGCAGAAGAGAGAAAGAGTGGAGATGGTCCACTCATCCGTTTCTTTTATAATCTGCCTTTTGTTTCAATTATTGTGGAAGTTTAAATCAAATTCAGAAATTACAAGTGGCAGCATTTGATTGCTTCCCAAGAGGCCCTCTGCCACTTTGGGGGGTGGGGGGTGGGAGGGCTGATTGTTGGATTGCACACAATGCTGCTGGGACAGTGATAAGCAGGGGGTGCACACTGCGTGTGTGTTTGGGGGGGGAGCATAAGAGTATCTTGGGTCTCAGGGAAAGAGCAAAGAGAAAGAAGGGCCTTGAGAGGCAACCCCCCCCCCCATAAACCCTTCACCAACAACAGGGAGGGAGGCATACTTTCCAGGTTGATGGGTGTGGGAGAGCTGTGATGATGATGATGATAGACGCTTCGTTCCTTTTAGATCCAGGCTGGAGCCGGAGCAAAGCCATAAGTCAGCACCAGCTGCTTCTCCCGGGAAAGCGCCTGAGACGGAGGCGTCTTCTAAAGAACTGGGAGAGAAACCCACCAGTGAAGCCCACCGAGGTGGGGCAATCCGTTCCTGCCTGTAACATCCACGCTTTAAATGTTGTATAATGTTGAGGCTCGTGAGGCTTCCCTCTTTATTCATGCAGGGAAAATAGTTTTCAGTTATTTATCGTAATGCTGCACTGACAGTGTGCTGCTTGAAAGCGAAATGGCTTCAGAAGCGGCCCAGGGCCAGTACTGACTTCCTTCAGGCTGTTTTCTGGGGGGGGGGCTTGCCGTTTCTTCCTTCCCAGGGCAGAGAGGGAGGGGCTGGCCCAAGGGCACCCGGCTAGTTTTGTGCCTAAGAACGGAGCACAAGTAGTCCTTCTGTAGTCCCGTCACAGTTGGGACCACAATTCCTAAGTGCCATGTTGCTTTTTGCTTCACTTCGGATTGAGTTGCTCTAGCAAGTTTGGACTGCCTTCGTGTTGATGATAGTTTTGTGTGGCTTCTTTTGCAGAGAGAAACCTAATTGATGAGCACTCTGATTTTGGACTTGGTCAAGACAGCAGAGGAGAAGACGAGCTTTCCCCTGAAGAGATCCAAATGGTAGTTAATCTTTTCATCTTGAGCAGGAAGCTCGGAAGCCTCTGCCAGGGAAACTGTTGCAAAGACTTCCTGAAAGGGCCGCCTCGTCAGGCCGGGCAGTCTGGGAGACCACCAAGGCCCCACTGCTGGCGGATCGGTGCATGCTGTGCCCTCCCTCCCTCCCTCCCTCCAACCAGAGGAGCCAAGGGGGGGTTGGAGGAGGCTAAAGGGGACAACCCAGGAGAGGGGGAGAGAGAGAGAGATGGGGGGGGGGTTGATGGGCTGCAGATTGTCCCCTCAGAGTTAGGTGAATGCCCAGGGTGTCTGGATTGGGGCACTGCTGGCCTCATGGAAGAGCCCAAAGGGTAACGTAAGGAAGAGCGAGCTCCCTGAGCAAGCAAACAGGGCAGGTGGGGGGGGGTCTCCCCCCGCCCTCTCACTCTAGGCTGGCACTCATTTAGAAGAGGCAGCTAGTCTAGGCAATGGGGCAGAGAGAGTGGAGGTTTGTGCAGGAGAAGTTGGCAGGGAACATGGGCAGGAAGAGAAGCGAAGCAGATGGCCCAGAGTGGACCTGGTGCAAGGGGAGGCTTGTGTAGAGGAAGGGGAGGGACTGGGCTGAGCAAAGTGGCAGTGGAGGTGTTGACCCACAACATGCGGGGAAGAGAAAGTGGGGAGGCTGGCAGGGAAGGGTGCAAGTAGACGCCACCTGCCAAGAAGACCGACTGAAAGAGCGGCCTGCTGCGGCAGTTGAGCTCCTTTGGCAGGGTGGAGAAATGGAGCTCCGATCCTGAAGATTTGAGCTCCCTTCCTGCACATCACCGACGGAGCTGCCATCCTCCCATGGTGGGCAGAGATGAAGCTTAAATCCTGATGAGTTAAGCTCCGTTTCTGCAACCTGCCAAAGGAGTTTCCTTCTCTGCACAGAGAAGAGCTGACATCCCTTGGCAGGCAGCTCTTTTCAGCCATCCCGGGCTGGGCCTGGAAAAGCCAAGCAGGATTTTTGGCTCCTGAGCAGCAGGAAGGTAAGAAGCACATAGGCCCAGCACAGGGGGAGGGGGCTGGAAATCCCCCTTCGATTTTGGCAGGGAGGGTCTCCAGCTCCTGGGTAGGGCTTCCTGAGGCCTCTCGCCCGCCAGTCAGCCTACCTTCTGCTCACACACTGGGCCCAGCCCCTCCCCCCATGGCACTCATGCACCGCCTCCCGAGTGGCCAGGTATTCAGGAAAGTCTCCAGAATTGTAGCCAAATTTTCTCAGCAGGAATTTGGAGACCTGATGGGGTTTTTAGGTATAGTTTGCACGGATGTGACCGGGCTGTTTTTCTTCTTTTTTAATTAGATGCCGTGTCATTTTTTTAAACTTTTGTTTGTTTGGTCTATGACTACATATTTGGTCTGTGACACACAACTGTTTTGCAAATCTTTTCAGAGATGTTTCTGCTGCATTAGTAGTTTTACCATGAATGTAGAAATAATTCTCATTCCTCCTTTCCCATCACCCCCCCCCGATAACTCAGTTAAAGAATACTTGCTCAGAAATTGGGGGGGGGGGGAAGGATGCATTTTTGTAATCTTAGAAGAAGGCAGACATAGATGAAAAGTGTTGGAGACGCGAGCCCTGAATTCAGGTTTCTCTTTAACAATTCTTAGGTCCTCATGTCTTCTCCGGGACCTTCCTTGCATGATGCCGGTAGGGATAGCCTAAGGCAGTGATGGCGAACCTTTTAGAGACCAAGTGCCCCAAAACTGGCCCCGCCCCCGCTCCACCCCCTGCCCTGCTCCCACCCCGCCTGCCCGCAGAGCCACTCACCATCTCCAGGGCCTGCCGCAGATCGCCCAGGCAGCCCAGCAGCATCATTGTGGCCAGGCCCTCTGCCCGCGCCCGGCAGCATCCATTGTGCGCGATAGGGTGTGAGGGTAGAGTCTTGTCTATGCTGCCTGGCTGCCATGTCCTTGGCTGTGCTGCTCCGCGTGGGCCACACTCGTGGGCGACTCTCCTCCAGGGGGGCTGCTGGTGAGGAGGGGGTCACGGGAGGAGGCAAGGCTGGGGCAACAGCACATGTGCCCACAGAGAGGGCTCCGAATGCCGCCTCTGGCATCCGTGCCATAGGTTCGCCACCGCTGGCCTAAGGCAAGCTGAATTCCCGGAAAGACAGTTTCACTGCAACTTACTTTTTCACATAGATGGTCCATTGGAACTAAGCTTTAAATTGCAGTAATCCTTGCCTTTCTCCGCCCAGTTTGAGCAGGAAAACCAACGCCTTGTGGGTGAAATGAACAGCCTGTTTGATGAAGTGAGGTACATTTTTTTTCCTTCTGTTTGCTTTTTTCACATTTTGATCAAGGTTCTTGGCCCGTATCCCTTGCTTGAGGTGAGGTCGTATGGGCAGCACGGCGGGGATTGGGGCGCATCCTGATTGCGTGTCCGCAGTTTGGCCTCCCAGCAGGGCTGATACTTTCTGTTAATTCTGTGCTCTTGTTCAGCATAATTTTTGAGCCTTCTTAACATTTCCCAACTCCAACAGGACCTATCTGTGACTAATGCTGTTTTATAGTGCACAGATAATAAGTTTCCAATTTTTATGTCTAGCAGTCTGCATTTTTTACCCACCTAGAATCTACACCTAATTACATAAATTGTATTTTTCCAAAGTTACTATAAACAACTGATCTTCTTTGTATTAAGAGTAGCTTATTAAAAATCTGCTTCATCCAATAAATGCTTCATTATCTTAGGAATGTAAGATATTCTATATACTTCATTCTATAAAAATTGGAAATGTTTATTCTTAATTGTGTTTGTATATACACCAAAGTCTTTTTGTTTTCCTTTGGTATATTTTTATCATTTTTAGGCAGATTGAAGGGAAAGTAGTTGAAATATCTAGACTTCAAGAAATATTTACAGAAAAAGTATTACAACAGGTAAGAATCTCATATTTGACTCTTTCATAAAGCATTTTGAGCTCTGTAAAAAAATTCATGGCACTTTGCAGGACAGAAGCAAATTATCTCTGATGATGGAGCAAAATACGAATTAATAGAGTGGGGATCATGAGGACAGTTACCAAAAGAGTTTGTGTAACACGAATTTGCTGCAGAAATATGCTCCAGGGGAGAACATTATGGGGGAATGAACAAGTACACTGGGGCTGTGAAGGTGTCGCTGAATTCCCAGATATTCTTCCAATTCCCAGTGTAGCCTATAGCCTTGGGATTTCCTTGTGGTCTCTCATCCAACTCCTGTCCAAAAGTCAGTCATGTTTACCTTTTTCCAGAAGGATTCAGCTGCTGCCATTTGCAGAGAGTCACCACATATGTGTTAACTTAATTTCTAGGAAGCTGAAATTGACAACATCCACCAGATAGTTGTGGGTGCAACGGAGAACATCAAGGAAGGCAACGAAGACATAAGAGAGGTAATTTTGGCCAAGGCTTCCTTGATTTTTATTAAAGTCTTCTTGACTGGCCCATGGCAAGTTGTACTCCAGTAGCCTGGCTCTGCTGCATTTTGAAGGAAGACACTCTTGTTTCTTGTACCTCTTGTTCTGTGCACTTTTATTTATCCATTCATTCATTTAAAACAGTTACATAGCTGCCCATCTTATAACAAACTCTGGGCAGCGCAGTCTGTGGAAGTGCCGCCCTGTTCAAAACCAACCGTGGGTAATATTCTAGCTGTGGACCAACCACCTTCCTTAAGGAAGACAGATTGGAGACTCTGATGCTGCGAGGTCCAAGGATCACATCTAAAGGTGTGGCTCTCCCTCCCCTCCCCCAGTGCAGGCTGAGACCCTCTGCTCCAGAGACACCTTAACCCCTCAAGGCACCATTCCTTGGTCAAAGCATCCTGCGTGCTTTGCAAGCGAGGACTGATGGACAACTGCTAAAAAGTTGTTCTTCGTTTTACACAAAGATGTGTAAAATCTTTGTTCTTATTTCAGCTCTTCGGCTGAACAAGTGGCATAAAATAAAATAAAGGGGGGGAAGGGCATACATTAAAGATGTTCGTGAACATTTCAGTCATAATTTGATTGGCCTTTTCCCTCAGTGTTCTGCTCTTAGGAGGCTGCCATGTGGAACAAAAAATCTGAAGACAAAAACTTATGTTGAAAACATTTTTGCATATTCCTGAATTGCCCACTGCAATTTACATCTTTTAAAACGATGTTTTTGTTCTCCACAGGCAATCAAGAATAACGCTGGATTCCGAGTGTGGATCCTCTTCTTCCTGGTCATGTGCTCCTTCTCTCTGTTGTTTCTGGACTGGTACGGAAGCTGATCCTGGCCAGCCGGACCTGCAGACCCCCCCCCCACTGCCCTATGAGGTTTTCCCCGCCAGGTGACCCTGTGTTTCACCACATGGTGGTTGTAGAAATATGTATATATTGTATGTATGTATGTATGTGTGTGTATGTATGTGTGTATACACACACACACATGTAAATTCTAGGATATATAAATTCTAATACTCAGGAATATCTCAGAATATCTCATCTGGAGCTTTAGGTAGCAGAAGGAAACTGGATGGCTGCCAGGAAATGCTGAATAAAAGTGTTGACATGGACACGATTGCAGCAGAGAGAAGTTGCGAGACGTTTGTTCTGTGATAAAACGAAAAGCAACTGCTTCCCCTTGGGGGCAGGGTGAGGGGGGCAACGTTTTCCGGCATGGGGGAGGCCACTGGTCTTCTCTACTGGCTGACGTAGGGGGAGGGGGGTCAGAAAAGGTCCCCTTACGGAGAGGGCGGCACAGGGGCTACTTGGCGCTTTCCAGAAACTGTGCACTCCCTCCCCTCATTTAGTCTCCCCTTTCAAAGCCCCAATTGCCCTCTTCAGCTTTGGGGACACGTGGAAGTCCCCCATCCCCCCCCATGAAGAATGGAGAGGAAGGGGGTCTTCTTGCATTTCAATATACAGCAAACAGGGATTGCTCAGACATAGTCATGCAAATAACCATTGTTAGAAAGACATGTTAGAAGAGGGTTTTATTGCAAATAGGGTGATTGGAATCCTTCCTTCTTTTTCCTCTTCATTGCAGCAAACATCTATTTAAACATACGGAGTTTGAGACTTCAGCATACTATTTTATTTTACACAGAGTGAAAATGTCAAAAGTTACATCTGACTACTAGGGAATACAAACATGGTATTGTGTGTACAAGAGAGAACTCGATGCAAAGAAAAGATTTGGCACATAAGTTATTGCTTTTTATGTATTCCACATAGCAGCGATTATATACCAAAAATTGTACAATATGTAACTATATTTAATATTAAAACTTTCAATGAAACTATAAATGGCATTTCCAAGTAGATTGATGAAAAAAGTTCTGGAAGGAAATATAACCTAGAACCATGTTTGTCTTACTACAAGTACAGAAAAAAAAGATATTTTGATTATTTTAAAGTGTGTTTCGGTAAAATTAATGAAACTTTTGACATTCCACTGGGAAATAACACATTCAGAAGAACAAAAATGACAGCAGTTTTTAACTACAACCTGTAATTTGAAGAACAGCAGACAAGCCAACGCCAGAATCTGACGGAGGGTCTTCCTAGTGCGGTGCCCTGTTTTTCCAGCCATCTCCCATCCTAGGGGAAGATTCCCAGATTAAAATGAGCCGCTGTTCTATCCCTACAGGGCTTAGCAGTGGGGAAGCTGGTCAGATTGACGCATGTCCTCCTAGCAGGCTGGCGCCCTCGGCCGCTTATGCTGCAGGGGCTCTTGGCAGCTTTCCCAAACTCTCTGGGAAGGAATCGACAATGACTGCAGAGGAGCATTTGAACAACAAACGTAATAAGTGGGTACCTGGCCTTGTGCGTGCTTAGCTTATTATGTCCAGAAAGCAGCCTCACCCTCCCTCCCTCCCTCCCTACGTTCCTGGGCGTGCCAGAGTCCCCCTGAGCTCCAGGGAGCCGATGTCTTTTCAGGGCAGGCCGACAACGCTGCTGCCAGCAAAGGGCACTGTACGAGGTTAAGGTCTGCGAAAGAGGCCGTTCTAATAAAATACGTCCTTTCTAGTGACACAGATTGCATCGTGGACTACATCTAAGGAGTTTCTATCTTGTTTATCCCTCAGAATAGTTTGTCCTTTATATTTTTGCCCTTTAGTTGAAACGCCTAATCTGTCATTAAAACCACATAGCTCTCGAATGTCTAATTTCTATTTCGTTTGCACAAGATTCTTTAATGTAGTGGAAACAGTGAAGTTCATGCTACAACAGAAGCAATTAAGCCTGAAGGTAATGGATATAGTGAGCAAAATCAGGCCGGTTTTATTTCCCGCGAATATTTGGATTTCAGAGCAGATTTAACAGGAAGGGAAACACCAGGGCGGACGCAGCAGAGGCTGTCTCACGCCAACAGGCCCTGCCTGAGTGACTCTGGCCAGATGTCTGAATTACAAGAATGTGCCCAAGTTCGATGCCACCGAAAGAGAAATCGGTGCTAGAACTCTACAGGGAGGCTGATGCGCGCTGGACCCGCATTGATGGCCCAATTTCTTTTTCGTTGCTCCCTTTCGCAAAGCAGTTATCGGCAACCAAAGCAATTACACCATAAATTATGAGCAACCTCTAAGTGATCCTAACAATGAGACATTCCATGAAAACCACCTCCAGACCCCTTCTCCATCAGACTCATTCTCCTAAACAGATTTCTCAGCTGCCTCCGTCTCCTGCTCAGAAAGTTTCTCTTCCGAAAGCACCGTCATCCATGGAGAAACTGACCGGGTGATGGTCTGCTTGGCCAGGTTGTAGTGGTTGATCACCGTGTAAAACTTTCCTCGGGGGCTAGAGTCTTGTTCAGAATAGTAGCTCTCCAATCCAGCCGGAATGCATTGATTGTTCTGAAAGACACCGATGACACACACACACACACACACTTGAATACCAGAGAGAAAGCAAGGCGGCTCTGTGTGTGTGTGTGTGTGTGTGTGTGTGTGTGTGTGTGATGAGAAAGACAAACGGACTACGCATCAGCACCGGGCTTCTTGGGCCCAGCAGAGCTCCCCCCCACCTGGGCTGGCGCCCCTGTTCCTTTGCATCCCGTTCTCTCCCAGCCTTTTAACCTTTGTTCCTCCAGGGCAGAAGCTTATGAAGGACCTCGGAGGTTTTCCTCTCTCTCTTTGCCTCCTGCTTCCCAGGCTCCCCTTGCCAGAGGGATACCGGAGCCTTTTCTTGTCCTGTGGCTCTGGGCCCCTTAATTTCTGGAGACTGATAATGCCCACCGTCTCTCTATTCCTCTGAGGATCAAATAGAAGTTTCTCTTTTCTGAGGAAGCGGCTGGCAGGTCTGGCCCAGCTTAACGTGGGAATTTTGGGCAAACCGTCTCCATCCACGGGACGTAAGCTGGACATGGACCCAGAGGCTGAGAGTCACAGGACGGTTTGCCTGAAGTGCCACTCCAAAATGGCTGTTCCCCAAGGAGCCACGTTTTGCAGAGTGCTCTGAACAACAGTGCTCAAACAAAAGGGAGAAGCCTTTGCTTGAGGGTTGTCAACTGCCGAAACGAGTTGTTACAGTAAAAAACAACATATCACAGGAACTAGGTGCAGGAGCCCTCCCTCATCTATTCATGCCTGGCTCTTTTTTCCCATCTCCGCACCTCAACACACCGCAAATGTTCCCGCTTCTGCCCTAGCTTTTTTGCCCTTCTTTCATGCTGTTCCTCCTGCCTGATCCCGCTGGAGACCCCGCTGGGGAGGCATCGGTGGGGTGGCCTCCCCAAGGTTTTCAGTCCCTCTTCCTTACCTTGGAGATGAAACCTTCTGGGCAGGCTTGGTCGTACTTATAGACCTTGTAGACCACCAGGAACCCAACGCAGGTAAGGAATGCCAGGGCAAACAGGATCAGGGCAGTCACCTGCAAACAGATTTACAATTTCTTCTGAGCATGCGTGGCTCCGAAACACTTCTGAACACAGACCCAAGGATTGTCATCGACATCTCAGTTGGAGTTTCACTGCCTGACCTGGCAGTTTCTGTGGGGAAAGAAGAGAGTGCCCAGTTCCACCGCCAGCACCTGCCTTCCCCATAGCGGGTGGGGCCTGTGTTGCACTCCCGCTGCAGCTGAATCTGAAACCCTCCCCTAAAGAAGGGGGGCTGTGTTTGCTAACGGGGGGGGGCTTGAGCGATCTGCTCAGTAGCTCGCCATCCTCTGAGGCATCTCATGAATTGCCTATGCCTGCATTTCGACCTCTGTGCTATGGGTTCCTGTCAGCTGGAGGCCGGAGGGCCTGATCCTTCAGGCAACCAGCCAGGCAACTGCGAGGAAGCTGAAGCAGACCGGGGGGGGGGACAGGAGCCAGGGAGGGCAGACTCCCATTGGGAGAAGCCAGAGGCTGGAGGACACCAAGGTGATCCGCTGGACTTTGGGGGAAGCAAGGATGGTAGAGCCCCACAGTGATGGCCAGGAGTTCTTCTCCATTGGAAACAGTTCTCCAGCAACAGGATGCCTTCCCGTGTCCTCACTCCAATCACAGTTCCAGCCTTTACAACCAGGACCGAGTCTGAATCCTGGATTGACACTGACCACTCCTTTCTCCATTGCCATCTTGCCCGTCTGCCCGGACCTAGAGCCCGTTGGGTCTCCAGCTGCTGGCCCTGCATTGCCCTTACAACCAGTAGATTGAGCTGGGTTCTTTGCAAGCATCCCAGAGTCGCTCTGGATAGTGAGATGGGCAGCATATAAATGTAATAAATACATTTACTACTGTGTGATGGCTTCGTCTAGAATTGAGCATTCTGCTGTTCTTGCATGTTACCAAGAAAGCCCCTTAGCTGAACAATATAAAGCAATTGACAGTATAATGCTGGATGATGGGGGTTGAGTTGGGTTGAGTGGTACTCAAGATGTTATTGAGCAAGAGAGGAGGATCTCCCAAGGCACTTATGAGTTTCAGTGAACTGTTAAGAGGAGAATTACAGTGAAGACATCAACCTTCGGAACCGACAAGACACGCAAAGAAAGTCTTTCAGAAGTTCTCCACTTGGGAGGTTCCAACCTCAATTTGGTACACTGAAGAGACAGACAGAACTAATTTCAAGAAGATCAAAGATAGGAGTAAACTGAAACTGTCTACAGTAAAGATGTCTGTGTCAAGGTATCTTAAAAAATATTTCCTGATTATAAAAAACCCTGGTACTAGAACACAAAGGTAGATTAACATTCTCATTATCAAGTTTGAAGGCTGGAGAAATTGCTGAAATATCTATGAGAATACGGCAAGCAACATAAAAAAACTACAAAACCAGAATAAGCCAATCAATTAAAAAAGCATTTGTAAATGTTCTAACCAACTGCTGTTATAAATTGGGAGCATAACACAGTAGTGAGCCTACTGGAAAAAGTCAGTTCATCTACTCAGTCTTGGAGAAAGCTCCCGAAAAGACCACGGACAGCTAAGAAGACAAACTGATAAACATCAAACAAATTGACCTAGAGTTTTCTCTCTCCTGGCACAAATGACCAGACTCAAGTTATCCTACTTCAGACACCTGCAAAGACCCAGCTCTGTGGAGGAGGAGGCTCTCCTGCTGGGAAAGATGGGAGTGCTGAAGAGCTGAGAGCCCCCAGCCAACTCAACCGGAAGGCCCTGTGCTGGAGATGCCCTGGCAGAATCTGCCCATCTAATGGCTTCCCCTGCTGGCCTTGGAAAACCCCAGCAACGCCAACAGCTGTTGGGACACGGCAGTGTCATGTATTCCCCTTTGCTGTTGAGTGACAGGCGTTGGAAGACTTTCCTAAAAGGCCACCCATGCGTGTTGACTGGGTGACCAGGAAGGCTTGCAGGAGTTCCACAGGGGAAGCCTTCCATTTGCTCAAGAGCCCGCCTTTTTCCCTCTTTCCCTCTGGCACTGTGAACCGACAGCACCGAGAGGCCCAGGCGGCCTCTCCGGGGCCTCCGGGGCCCTGTTGCGTAGCAGCAGAGCTCAACAACCCACACAGCCTGAAAATAATCCTGTAACGATTCAAGCAAAGCAATTGAAAATTTGTTTGTCTTCTAACTTCTAATCTACACAGGGCAAGTCTGCTTTTGGCAGTAGAACCGAGAAGTCTCTATAAATAATTGTCACACTCTATGTTGCACACGAAAAGTGTTTGACGTTTCAGCATTTATACAGTTCACTCTAATGCCAGTAAGAAGCAGAAATCAGTAAAATGAAGTTCATAACTGGACGCATGTTTGTTTGCTCGTTCATTTCTTCATTTGAGCATTTGGCGAAGCCATATTTTGAATTTAACTTTTAACAAGCCAACTCTTCTGACTCAGCCCAGGATCCCCAGAGGCTTCCCCGAGGGAGGGAGCTGTCCTGGGGGGCCTCTGGGGGTTTGCCTTTGGCCCCCCCCCTCCCTCCCTCCCTCCCTCCCTGGGAGCCGCACTGGAGCTCTGGGTTGACTCCTTCAGCCAGCTCCTCTTAACAAATGTTCTTGCCCTTGTGGTGTGGTCTTTAACTTATGGTTAAGCTATGGTCTTTAACTTATCACTGCGTCCATTTAATATCCTTTACAGCAAATAAAGTCTATTGGGCATTGTCCTAATGATGAAAAAGCTAAAACATTATAGAATAAGTAAATAAATATGATGGTATTGCTATATTTATGTTTATCTCTCACAAATTCATCTACGGTAGTTGCTCTAATTCTTCATCACTGATGCATAATTTGTATTCCCTACCAAATACAAGGCCGCCTCGGATTAATTTTCAGATCCACATATTTTTTATTTTACTTCCACCCTATAAAGCTCTTACAGCATTAAGCAATCAAACTTTAATTCCACGTTTATATATTTTGCATTTTCTCTAAACTAACAAACATAATAGAAAGTTTTTTCTTACGATGGTATATTTCTCAATGAGCTGCTAAACAGAACAATCTTCTTCCCTGATATAAAACCGCAGGAGACTCCTGCTCCCTATAATGCTCCCGGCGCTTTACAGGCAGAACTAGCGGTCACTCTGTGGCCTTTGCATTCTCCCTGGCTGCCACCCTTCCCCCTTTCGTAGCAGAAGGGCAGCCTTCTCCCAACTGTCAGGCACAGATGCTGTCTTCCTGTGGGTGGGTTGAGCCGGTGGCCTAGACACGGGGTCCCTGGTGCTCCCTCCAAGCTTGGTGGTGGTTCTCTTGCAGAAAATCACCAAGCTCGGGGAGAGAGCATCGAGGGTCCCACAGTTCAACCCTGAGCTGCAAGCACTCCCTTCTATTGGCACAGCTGTTGTATAGGCTATCAGCCTTCCCAAGTCAACCAGGTGAGCTAATTCTACTTTATGGGAAGGCTTCCTTAACAGCACCTTGCAAATCTGACAGTACAAGTCTCCTGTTATTTCCTTACAGCTGAGGGGTCCTTCTGAATCCTTTTCCCTCCCTGTGTTGCAGCTGCGGGCTGGGCCCTCCCTTTTCGGACCATTTCCTCGGCAATATTTCTTCACTCCATCTCCCAAGGTGTTTCTCACATACCGTTACGTAAGTAAGCCGCATCTATATTTTAACGTGTCTCCTAGTTATTCCTGGTTTCAGTCTGTGCCACAACTTTCCATATGCGATGGTCATCATCAGTCTCCATCCCACAGGGGCCGCATGCAACATTCCTTGTCTTGGTCAGCTTTGATCACAAGTGAAACCCAAGGCCAGTTTTACCCCAAACATTGCCACCCTCTCCCCTCTGTTCAAGGTTAGATCACTGATGTAATGTCATCCTAAATTTATGATGCTCAACCCTAAACTTTTAGGGCTGTCAGTCTGTTTGATCACTGGAAAAGAGTAGATAAAGGAAGGAAATGGAGTAAGTAGATAAATTAGTTAATGTGGAAACTATGGATCAGAGATTTGGAAAGTTCACCTCTAGCACACGTTTAGTACAGGTGAACCTGTTTCCCAAAAAATAACAGTTCTAGCACTTCCCATCACTTTCACTGAGGCTAACCTCTCTCTCTGTGTGTGTGTGTGTGTGTGTGTGTGTGTGTGTGTGTGTGTGTGTACTACATTAAACTTCAGTCCCTTAAGGCCTAAAAGATTCTGCAAGGAAGTACTCCATACCTTTACCTTAATTAATCCTTCAGTTTTCCTGTGGCAATTATTTAATTTAATACCTGCTAGTATTTTGGAGTGAAATAAATAAACGTAACATTCATTTTTTCATCCTTGAAAATGAGCTGACTTGGCTTACCTTAAAACGTTCTGAGATGCCTTGAGTGATGCTGACTGTGAATTCTGCAATTCTGGGAGAACGAAATTTCCCTTTCTTTCGATCAGGCTCATATTCCGTCTTTGTCTTCACCACCACCTTTTCAGTGAACACCAACAGAAGAGCCGTTACCAGCACAGCCGCCCCACCAGAGCTGCTCTTAACGCCTGCAACCGCCTGCTCCTTGGCGCACCGTTTGGACACGTGAGCCACAGAATAAAGAAGTAGGAAGTGACAATCCCCTTCTACGCTGTGGCCAAGAAAACAGGCGTGTCCCACACAGCGTGCAAAGGACTCCCCTGTTCATTTTATTTTGTCCTTTCACGCACACAAAATATGCACATCCCGATTTGAATAATTCCCTGTGATTTTCTCCCGGGGATGCAAGATGCAGAGTCTGCCAGGAAATGCTTTTCCAAAGGCTTTCCTGAAAGAAGGGCATTTTAAGGACAGTGGGTTCAACCAACTTACTTTCTAACCACCTTTGGATTTGTAATTATGTTATAAATTATTATATGATCTTTAAACAAATGGTTGCAAAGTGAGGACTACCTGAAGTCTTAATTAAAAAGGAAGTAGCAATTTCCTGTACCCTCCTGAGCAACTAGGCACCACCTAAACTGGCTCCTGGTCTCTCCTCCACCAATTTTCAAGCCTGGGTTCCAAAACTCTTTATCAGTTGTAAATGGCCTTTAGAGCAGTAAAACATACACCCCTTGGTCACTTACATCTAGTAAAACACACCCCCTTTTGTTAGGAAAGGCTGAACGAAAGTGGGATAGAAAATAACAGCAGCATTAACAATAAATGACTCTAGATATGACAGGTTGAAGCCTGTTCGTGACAAGTTGCAGTCTTCCGAGCAGTGAAATGGGCAAAAGAAAGAACAAGATGAGGCCAATTCAATCAGAATTCAATCTTAACAGAGCTGGAAGAGAGGTCTAGTCTAACCCTCTGTTCAAGCAGGAGATCCTATAACCCTCTCAGATAGGTGGCTGTCCAGTCTTTTCTTAAAAACCTTCAGTGATGAAGCCTCTACCTACAACATCTGGAGGCAAGCTGTTCCACTGCCTAATTGTCCTCACTGTTAGGAAGTTTCTTCTTAATTCCAGATTGTTTCTCTCCTGGATTAGTTTTCATCCATTGTTTCTTCTCTTGCCTTCTGGTGCTTTGTGGCAGCCCCTCAAATCCTGGGATAGTGCTATCATGTCACCCCTAGTCCTTTTTTTTTTAGACTGGCCATTCCCAAATCCTGCAACCGTTCTTCATGTGTTTTAGTTTCCAGGCCTTTAATCATCCTAGTTGTTCTTCTTTGCACTTTTTCCCAAAGTCTCAACATCTTTTTTTTTTTTGTAACACGGTGACCAAAGCTGGATGCAGTATTCCAGATGTGGCTTTACTAAGGCTTTATAAAACGGCACTAATATTTCATGTGATTTTGATTCTATGACTCCATTTATTCAACCAAAGATTATATTAGCTTTTTTGGCTGCTGCTGCACACGACTGGCTCATGTCTAAGTAATTATCCATTAGGACTCCAAGGACCCTCTCACAATTTTTGAGCTAGGTTTCATCTAACCTGTACTTGTACGTTTGGTTTATCCTGCCCAGGTGTAAAACCTTGCTTTTTCTCCACATTACATTCCATTTTGTTGGATAGGACCCATTGTTCAAGTCTGTCAAGATCTTTCTGGATCCTGAGTTATTCTTGTGGAGTGTTGGCTATTCCTGCCAGCTTAGTGTATCTGCAAATTTGATGACACTAAGCTGGCAGGAATAGCCAACATCCCAGAAGATAAAAACATTTTTTTATTTAATTTAAATCCTGTTCACATAATGTCAGTGGAAAGAGGGCAAATGGAAAAGAGCAAGTGAGCAAGAAGTATCTTGCAGCTGTAGGGAAGGTGCCAGGAAAGTTCAGAAGGAGGCGGGCTTGGCGGAGGGGGGGAGTGCTAAGACAACAATAACGGGGGGGGGGCTTTTTTAGACATGTTTAATAAAATGGGAAGAGAAAAGAATCAATTAATGAAGCTGCTCAATGAAGATGATAAATGCTTTTAGTTCAGTCTTCTCTAACATAGGATGTAAGTTTTACAAGATAAATGCAAGATATAGAATGAATCTTGAGATTGACAGAAATTAGTTAGGAATTGCCTATTTACAGTGATCAGCTTTAAATCTCCAGAGTCTATTAAATTGCATCTTAGAATACTGAAGGAGCTAGCTAAAAATCTTACCAAACAGTTGTATCTTATTATTAAGAAACATTGGAGAACCAATTAAATGCTAGGTAATTAGAGGAAATAAACATCCTTATCTTTAAAATTAGAAAATAGTAGGTTGCAAGGAATCAGTCAGTCTGATACAAAACTGACTGTCAGCAACCGGAAAAACAATGCTTAAGAGACACGTGATGTTTCTTGTTTTGCTTGGGTAACTTTCCTAGGAGATGTAGGAAAAGACATAATAATATATCTTGATTTCAGCAGATCGTTTGCCATTCTGATCAGCCTGCTAAATGTGGTCTGGTGGCATATGCAGCTGACTTGGAAATTGCCCTCAAAGTTCTCACTGATTATTCCTTCCAGATTGGACTGAGGAGCACAGGATAACAGTCCTGGACTGAATATTTTAATGAATGACTTGAAGGGAGATGCTTCCTAAATCTGCAGATGAACTTCTCAATGCTAACTTCAGCAGCAGAACTAGAACCTTCCCAAGCTGAAAGAACCCCAGGAGAAAGAGTTGGACTCTGGGTCCTGAATGCCTCTTGGAGCACCACAATACCTCTTAGGATCCTAAGAAATGAAGAACTGAAATGAGATTATCCTATAGACACCGGCTATTCCTGATACACGGGTGTCAATTTAATTACTTAGTAGTTTATGATCTGAAAGGGAAGACAGAGTTACGTGAAAGCCTTTACAAGTTATTTAACTCATTTAATTTTTTAGGAGACAAAGAGTATGTATCCAGATTTATTTTTGTAACTTCTACTATTCCTATCGTATTGTTTATCTGATGAAGAAATGGAGGTTGAGAGTCTTTATCTGCAACAGAAACCTCCAGGCACCTACGGTACTAGCTGAGGAGTAAGCCACGGGTGGGCAGAGGCCACACCCAGAGAGGAACAAAAGCTTCTCCGCCAGGCACGAACAAAGAGCCGCCGCCGTCTTCCCTTACGTAGCCTACAGCCGCTCGTTCTCCGCGATTTATATGATCCACTTCAGCCCCCAAACGTCTTTCCTCTTTGCAGATATCCTTTGCAAGCCGATTAAAATAGCCCACCGCCAATTCTGAATCCCCCCCCCGCAGTATTGATTTTAAATGTATCGATGTTATTCTTTTGACGTGGTCGCTCGGCAATTTACATGGAAATAACAGTAAAATAACTAAAAATACAAATGTAAAAATATTCAACCATGTAGTAAAAAAGAAGCTGATTTTTTTTGAAAGCGAAGCCTGCTGCTTCGCATTGTACACCGAAGGCTCTCCAGAAAACTCTTCCGGGGGTGGGAGGGTGGGGGGCTTCTGGTTTTGCCACGCTTTGTGGCCCCGGGTTGCCCTGCGGAAGCGACCGGGCCGGGGGCGGACAGGATTCATCCCTCTCGGTGACCAGGGAAGGAGCGCGCGCCGCCGCCGCCTCCCGACGGGGATGCCCGGGAGGCGCTCCAAGGGAGGCAGCGCTTCGTGCCCGGCGCGGACGGGAGGGGGGCAGGCGGGAGAGCCGAAGCCCTTCGCGGCGGGGATGCTCCGGCCAGACGGAGAGGGAGAGACCCTCACCCGGGGGCTGCGGCGGACCCCGAGGCGCCGCCCGCTCCTACCTTGTCCGGCGGGGGGAACTGGAGCTGCCCGACGTCCAGGGGGGTGATCAGGGGGATGGTGTCGAAGCCGTCCGCCGCCGCCGCCGCCTTGCCGCTCTTCTCGCCCAAGGGGCCGCCCAGCTTCACCATCCTTCCCGCGCGAAGAAGGGGAGCCTGCAAACGGGCGCGGTCAGGCGAGGCTCGCCGCGGGAGCAGCGGCGCCGGCACCGACCGAGCTCCGCCCCCTGCCCAGCCGCGCCCCGGCCGGGGGAGACCTACCTGGCTCGGCCCTCGCCTCGTCCGCCGCTGCCGCTGCCCCCGCCGGCCGCTCGCGCTCTCTGCCGGCGCCGCCGCCGCTCTGCCTCCCGAGCCCAGCGGAGCCGCCCCTTCCGCGGCGGCGGCGGCGGCGGCGGCAGCAGCTCCGGAGTGACGCAGCCGCGCGTGGCCGCCGCCTCCCCCGCCCAGCCGGGAGCACGAAGCGGGCGCGGCGCCCTCGGCCGGGGCTGCGGCAGGGCGCGGGGCTGAGGAGAGCGGCCGGGGGCTCCCTCGGGGCAGCCGCTGGCCTCGGGCGACGCACCTGCTGCGAGCCCAGCCCGCCTTAGCGCCCCCGCCCGGCTCTCCGGCTGCTCCGGGCCGCCGCCCGGTGGAAGCGACGTCCCGGCTACTCCCGCCGGCTCAGCTAGCGCAGCGCCCCGGCCGCCCGAGCCCCCCCCCCGAGCTCTGCCCCGCCGCCCCCCTCTAGCGCAGAGTCGGGCTCTCCGTCCCGCCCAGCCCCCCCCCCGCAGCTCCAGATGTCCGGCCTCCCCCCCCCCCGCCTGCCTTGTGGCCTCTTCTCATGCCCCTTCAGCAGCCCCCCCCCCCGCAACCTAGAGGCAGGGGGCGCTGAGAGCGACCGGCCCACATCTGGAATCGGAGTAGCCGGACCCCTGCCCACCGGGATGGCCTCCCTCGACGGGCAGCCTGCTCAGCCAGGGCCTTACCTTGGGTCAGGTGCCGAGGGTGGGTGGGCCTCTGCCCTAAGGGCGGCCCGAGTCTCTTTGAAACGTTCACACTTCTTGATCAGGAGAGCCAAAGGGAGGGAGGCGACTGGGCTTCCACAGAACGGAGCACTCATTTTTTAATGGGACGCTTGATTATTAATAGCAACCCACAAGATCACCGGCTCTATTATTTCAGTATTGCTGGCTTGTCGTATTTTAAACCTCACTCAACTATGGAAATGGTGTTATGCAGATAAATTCAGACATGACTGAGGCAGCCTACAGGTGAATGGTGATTTTTAAAAAGAAATATTAACTCTCTAGGCAAAAATTCAATCAAGTACAACTTTGATACGGTTTTATTTACTTACAAATACACGTGCTGCTCCTCAGAAGACCCAAGCAGAGTTCCTCAGTGGTCCAGCTCGCTCTCGTTCTGCAAGGTCTTCAAGGCCAGGCCCCAGAGCGCCATGCTGGAGAAGGGGCCCTCGTTATTTTGGGGCTGGGCAGGAGCCTCGTGGGTGCCGGTGGGGTCCCCGTTCCAGCCGCTGCCCGGGGCACTTGCAGAGGAGCGAATGGGGGGCAGAGGGCCAGACTGCAGCAGTCCCTGCTCAGAAGGGGGATGACTTTGTTTAAAAGTACAAGACTGAGCAGGTCCTTCTTGAGATTTACAGAGTTTGGCAGGATCCAAACTCAGTTTCTGAGCGTCTTTTCCCTCCCCAGGCCTTGCCCTGCCAAATGGTGCTCCGGGAGATCCAAACTCTTTTGGCGAATGTCCCCTCGAGTGGGGTGGACATTTCTCTGATACTGACAGGAAGATTTCCTGGGTAAAGAAACCTGAACTTTGCGACTTCTCAAGATCAGGAGTGTCCATTCCGTGAGAAAACTTGTCTACAATAGCAGAACTTTCACGGTTAGCTTTACAGTGGTTTTTTTTGTGTCGACGTAAGACAGCAGAACGGCTGAAACTTTTATTGCAGGTCTCACAATGATAAGGCTTTTCCCCGGTATGTGTTCTGATATGTCTTCGCAAATCTCCAGATCCTGTGAAGCATTTCCCTGTAAAATAAGATATTTATTGTTCTTTCAGCAAAGGTCAATGTTTTAATTCTAAAATTACTACGTTTTCATTCGTGCGGTTGGTTGTTCCGTGCACCTATGCATCAAAAACAGACTTGTTCTCTACAGCCCCAGTGAGCAGATCAGATCCAGTAGGTTAAAACTGCAAGGAAGGCTACACATCAGGAGGGGCCGCCCGACTGTGCAGGCTCTCAGCCAGCGGAAGAGGCTGCTGTGCCCAGTGGAGGGTTCTCCTTGGCGAGAGTCCTTTGAAAAGAGGCTGGGAGGTTCTCTGCTCCTTCGCGACTGGGCTTTAACCAGGCAACATTTAAGAGTCCTTCCAACCACAACTTCTACCATAACTTCCCTCATTTTGAGCCAGGGGGTCCCATGCTGGGAAAGCAAACTCTCGTAGATAAGGACACGAGGACATTGCAGTGAAATCTGCAAAAAAGTGTTACATTGGAGACATTTCAAAGGATTTTTGAAGAAATGGGAAAGAAGCTTGAAGACACAATGGCAGCAACAACATCTGCTACTGCAAAAGTGTTATTTAACAGTTTTTAAAGAAAGGAAAGTTGCAAAGGAAAAGAATTTGGAAGCATTTATAAGCTGACAGGATAAAGAAGTAAAACAAACCTTAGTTTATGCAGAAATACTGGAAAATAAAATAGTAGTCAGATACGAAAGGTAAACTGGAAATGCAGACAGTAAGAACGACTCATTTGGATTTATAAAAGGGGGCTATAAAGCCACGAGGAAATGGGAGAAAGAAAATTGGGTGGAAATTAAATCCTACAAAAGCATCTTACTGGGGCAAAGATTAAGAAGATTAAGAGCAAAAGAAAGGAACATAAAGTGGATCTGTTGAATCACGGTTAAAACCAGAAATACTTTTACAAAGTTCTGGCAACCCATCATAGATTGTTTGCTGACACTCGACAGAAACATTAATGCATTTTGGATTTACGGATGGGTAGAAGAGATTCGGGAAAAGTAATAGCCAAGAGGTCTGAAAAATACCTACTCAGTTTGCTTATATTTGTAAAAGAAGACAGAAAGTCACTTCTGGAGATATTTTCTTTTCCCCCTACTTTTTCTTTCTCTTTGATTTCAGTTTTTCTGTTTTTGCTTCTACTTTCACTTTTACTATCATTAAAATCTTTAATACTATTTTTTAAAAGGATAAATGTTGTAATTTTATTGAATCTTAACGAATGCCTATAGTTTCCAGCTGAGACAGGAGACGTAATTCTTGAAGTCTATATTATGAGTATAACATATTGCCTGTTAATTCTTCTTTTGATGAGGAGGGGAAATAGTTTGATATTATTGCTTGAGTGATCAGTACCATGTCTGCCAAGTACAGAATTTTCACTATCTTCATATGTGTTCCAAAGGTACAACAGAACAATGAAAAGGTTAGCATTTTTAGTGGAACTTTCCAAACCACCAGAAAACCTTCTGACTTACCACAAACTGAACAGTTATATGGCTTTTCTCCTGTGTGTCTGATCCTGTGTTTTACTAATTTTCGTGGTAAGTTAAATGACTTTCCACACTCGTCACATGTGAATACTTTTTCTGCTGCATGGTTCTTCTTGTGTTCCTTTAAATTACTAAAATTACTAAATCCTAAATTAAGAGAGTTTGAATCAGAATGATCACTCACAGGGTGAAATACATTACAATTAAAAATCCTTCCCCCGGGCCACCCCAGACCACAGAGCCCAGGCCAAACATGGGGGGGGGGAACCTGAGCTTGCGAGGGTGAAACCTCTCCTCCCATTGACTCCTGGCCTACAAGGGGAGAGTCGGAGGGGGCTGGTGCACAACCGGTGGATTTGGGCCGCTGCTCATTCTGGCCACGGCCACCTGGCTGCTTTCAGGACCCCAGCAGGACGGTGCCGGCACCCGAGCGAGGCCTAGCGGGGAAGAGGCATATGCCAGAATGACAGCTTGGCTTACTCATCCAGGGAGGTTTAAGCAGACCTACCTCGACCACAAGTGTCACACAGGTGCGGTTTTTCTCCAGAGTGAATAATAATGTGGCGCTGGACGTCTCCAGAGGCAGCAAACCTGTAACACCGTTGTGAGAGCCACTGTGAATGTCCCAATAAGTACTTTCTGCACCCTCCTCCCTCGAATGCATCCTGTCCCTGGCAGGCAGACCTGCCTTCTCAATCTAGCTGGAAGAAATTTAAGAGACCCAGAACTTCCCCATCCAGGTATGTTAGCCAATGGATCTTCTGGGATGTGTTACCTTAGTGGACAGTGAAGAGTAAATCTCTACATATATGATTAATAGATATAAATGCATATAATATGTATGAATTTCACAGACATACAAACCTCTTCCCGCAGATTTCACAAATGAATGGTTTCTCACCAGAATGGCGACGCAGGTGAGTCTGAAGATTGCCAGCCTACGAAGATAAGGAAACGTTTTTAACCAGAGAAGTTTACAGTTGGAAATGAAGACCTTCAAATAGTTCCTTAGGTTAATCCTGATACTTGAAAAATAAAAGCAACCCCCTCCCCCCCATGTACCGTTGTGTCGTATCTGAAAAAGGGGGAGGGGCCTCCTTTAAGCACAAGCAGCAGAGCATTCCCTTTACCAGACCTGGGATTGCAAAGACTTTGCTCCCCAACAGCAGATGGGCTAAACACAAAGCACCTTCCCACCCACCCCACCCCCACCAAGGCAGGTATTTCCGAATGGAGGGAAGGGGGTACGAAGGGGTCTCCTCTCCTGGAACCAGCCTCAACTGGGAGAGGGCGATTGCAGCTGTGCAGAAGGAGCTGCCACAAAACGTTCCCGAGTCTGCTGTGCTGTCATCATCCTTTCACTGGGCGCGGAGGACCCCAGAGCAAGAGGGCGGCACTGTGATGGCATCGGGGCTCAAAGCTTGGCATCCTTTCTGCTCAAGGCAGAAGAGACTTTAAGACATTTATGCTTAGCTCTCCCTTCCCCGAAGCCAAAGGTGTGTGTGAGGCCGCTCTCGCTATCCAGCTGCCTTCCTTGCAGACGTTTAATGAAAAATACCATCCAGTGCGATCATTTATTGCACGAGGACGGACAATGTAAAGTTTCCAGTTAGAAATTTGGAAACAAAATCAATGACAGGACAAATGCTTAGGGATTAGGAATTCATTCTCTCAAACTAGAATCCAGAACTTTTTTCATATCTGAAAATGGTACATGATCATAATTTCTGAAGCTAACTTTAGGAAAGATAGGATTCCTTAGCAACACCAATCATGGGGAACAGAAACCATGTTTGTTTGTTTTTTTTTCTGGTGAAACACATTTCTTAAAATTGTTTATCTTATTTTATGATTCTTGTAGAATTGCCAGAAAATCATACTGTGTACAATCTATTGCCTGATCAATAGAAAGGGACTAGGTAGCATCTAAACAAAAATAAACTTAAATACAAAATAATATTATACAAAATATTAAAACTCCTACCTGTGAGAAACATTTTCCACAAATGTTACATTCAAAAGGCTTTTCACCTAAAAGAAGAAGCAATGATATTCGCACTTCTGACAACTAAGTAACATTGAATGTATATAAAAAGGCAAAATGGCCACTTGCCTTTAAGTCAACATAGAAATAGCCAAGATGCCGTTTATATTCAAGATATTTTATATTCACAATTCCCCTTAATATACAGATTAATTTTATTTTGTATTAATAAGGCTTAATGCAAAATTAGCTTAATTGTACACTATTCTATGTTTGCCCAGGAGCAGGTCACACATAGCTTAACAGAGCTTGACCATTGCCATTTTGAAATTCTTCACCATAAAGCTGGGATTTGGAACTTAGTGGCGGAGGCCTCAAAGAAAATTCTGGTCATTGGAGTGAACAGATTCTATAAGCACCTTAACATCCCTATGATGCAATAAGATCATAATGTCTTTTTTTTTTACAAACCATTTCCTTTTCCCTTCGGAATGGCTGTAAATGGTAGTATATGAAATATGTATCAACTATGGCAGAGCGGAGTAACTTTTTTATGCAAAAAGTTCTATCAGGGAAACCAGGCAATAACTTTTTTAGAAGTGCTATGACTGGCCCTTATCAGAAAAACGATTTGCATACCTTTACTGGAGAAAACACACACACACACACACACACACACACACACACACACACACACACACCTTTACTGGAAAACACACACACACACACACACGCACACACACACTCCTCGAATGTTTAAGCACCTTCCCAGGGATGGAGGCCATTTGAGGAGGGCCATGAGACCCGATTACCGCAGGAGGAGGACCTGGGAGACCACGGCGGCACCAGAGCCTTTTCAGCTGCTAAGGCCACATCCAGCTGGCTCCCCCTGCGGTCGGTCACTCGATAGCCGGCCTGCCATGTTAACCGACTGTACCTGTATGAGACCTTACGTGGAGCTCCAGGTTGCTCGGATGTTTAAAATCCTTTCCACACAACGCGCAAGGATACTGCCTCTCTGGAGGGAAAATCTTGCATGGGCTCCCTGGCCCAGACAGCTCCCGGGACGGTTCCAACTCTACACATTCGGAATTCACTAGCCCACTGGGACGTTTCCCTTCAGGAACTACAAACATGGTCGTCCTTTTTGTGCTGCTCTGACTGCCTAATTCAGTTCCTTTTGCAATGGCTCTGTCAGGATCATGTACTGAAGACTGCTCAGGAGACCGTAACAGATTCAGTTTTTGAAGGTGGATAGCTTTCTTAAGCCTCAACTGTTTGGCTGGCTGTAGGGACGTGCCCTCCGTGTCTTGGTCCTCGGGACAGTCATGTAAGGACCGAGTGAGAAAGGCTGGTGGCAGGGGGGGATCAGACGACTCCAAAGTACATTGGCTGACGTTGCACAAAGTAGCATCCTGAGCCGTGTCTTGGGCTGGAGATATTACAAAATCAGGGGGCAGTTCTAGTAACCCCTTGTTGCTGGGACAAATAGTTTGTTTGCAGAACTGCTTGCTATAAAAGTTTCGGAGCTTATAATGGCCATTTGGCAGTTTAAAGGACAGATCCACCCCAACATGGTCCACGGAGTCTTGTTTTGGTTTGGCTCTCTCAGCTGATGAGCTGTGAGGCACACAAGGCTGTGGCCCAGCTTGCTGGTCATCCAAGACTTTACAAGCAGCAGTTGAACAAACACGGAGCACATCATAATGTCCACAGTGGGTATCAACAACCAAAGTATTTTGCAAAGAAAATGTATCATTGCCAGTCAGATTGGCTGGCTGCTCTATGGATCGGGAGGTTTTTAAAAAGGAGTGACACAGATTCAAAATATTCTGCACCTGCAAGCACTGTGCAATATCCAGCAAGTTCTGTATATTATCCTGGTTGAGGTCAAGATGTGCAGTGTACATATAATCCAAGATCTGGCCTATGCCACCCACGTTCTTAATGTCCAAATGAAAAACATCATTCTTCTGGCTTGGAGAATTTTGAAACAGGGTCCTAGGAAAGAAAAGCAGAATTACAAACAAGGGGTACATCTGCTTATCCTCAAATCCCCTTTATAGACATTAACATTACCTTGCATCCCATGACATTGGCCCATCCCACCCAGTCGGGCAGGGAAGGTATGTTGGAGACCTTGTTAATTAAAGAGCTTCGACTAGCAGAGTCCAGGAAGAGAGCCTTTTCTGCCGTTTCTCCCCCCCCCCCAAAAAAGTGGAATATTTCCCCCGAGGCGAGGCAGGCCCCCACCCTCCTGGCCTTCCAAAAAGGATCAAAACTTGGCTCTTTGGCCTTGCATGGAGAGCCCAGAGGAGCATGCAGCGCAGGGCCTGGTTAGTCCTTGAAAACCTCCCTTTGCCTTTTAACTCATTTTCACAACATTTAATCCTCCTTACCGCCTTCCTTCTAAACTATTTTTCTATTTTTTAAACTTTTATATATACTTTTTAAAATTTTATTGTACACTGCCCAAAGTCCCTCTCTGAGGAGACTGGTGGCTCAAAAACGTGAAAAATACTTAAGTAAACATAAAAGTGCACATATTCATCAATGTTTTAAAAATCTTGCTCACAGCATTTGGTTAGATAATAATTGCACAACAATATTACTGAAAGCAGCAATTCTTTTTATAGCAAACATACATACTGGAATTTGCAATTTCAGTCTCTGACACAATTTCAGTCTCTGATATTAACCGGAAAAAAAAAACATTTAAAGGTCATCTTTTAATCTTTCTATATAATTTCCGTTTTCAGAGAGCACAAAGGATGGCAGAATATCCTCAATTGAATTTGTAGTATTGCTGGTGGTAGCAACAGACAGCTATGTTTGAAGTCACTGGATCTGAATGTAACTTAAGTATACGTAACTTTTGTTGTGAACAGGACTTTGTGGTTTGACATTTTGCATTTTAGTTCTACACTTGTGTATGACCACACATTAATAATGTATTTCCTCTTAAAGAATTTATAGAACTAGAATGAGTGCACACTGCTAGTAAAAGAGTTTGTAACCAACTTAGACCATTAGTTAGAGCAAATCATAGTCGATACCACTAGATCTCAGAAAAAAGCTTAACGCGTACAGGGATTGGGGCTTTAGATTCCGTTCCTTATTCAGTGCAAGCATTTCTGGAAAACTTTCTCATTATATACACTGTCTTGAGTTCTATGAAATAGAGTGGATATAATAAGAAATGTATTTACTTATTTATTCATTTAAGGAATGCCTATGGTACAGTGATCCTAGACAACAACCATTAAAAAGAGCAATATAAAAACATACGACACCCATCCCATCAGGTGCTGGACCAGCCATACAGACCCCTCCCTGACTCTTAGCACAATGCTTGGGAGAAGAGTTTTTGGAAGGCTAAAAGAGTTACCCCCCCCCCAATGTCAGTATAACGGAGGGCTATACTGCATAGAGCCAGGGCATCTGCACGCCCAGAAGGCATGCCTCCAAGGTCCCATCAGATTATGTGTGAGGGAAGGGACCTGGGGCAGGTTGACCCTGTTCTGATCCAGTGGGAATGGCCGATGCTCTTTGGGAAAGGCAGTCAGTCAGCCCCTTGCACCGTCATGACACCTCTGGGGACCCTCGTGGACCCTCCCGCCCAGCCCCTGCAGTCCCTCTCATGGACCCTCCTGGATATTCCCTGATGTATGTAGCACCTCTCGTGCATCCTTGCTGACACCTGCGGCACCTCTTACATACCCCAGTGGACCCTCCCCCCACTGCTCCCCCCTTCTCTCTCTCTCTCACTCTCTCTCTCAGATCACAGGACTGTGGGCCACCTTAGAAAGCTGGACCACTGCTCTAGAAGAATAGAGAAAGAAAACCTTTCCCAAAATGTTAACAGGTAAACTACATGGATGCGTCTACATGACATCGAGCAAGACTTTGCACTGCTCATAGTATTTTTATGCAATGTAATTATATCTTTTTTAACATGTATTGTATATGAAATTAGATTCCTTAATTTTAAAACAGAAAAACACATTTATAAATAATCAAAGCTTTTATTTTATTTTTGCAGTTGGTAACAGTTTTTAGGAGCAACATCACACCATGTTTTCCTTATTTCATTTTGCTTTCTGCACACTGTTCAGAATCCTGGCGATTGGGGAAGTCTGTAAGAATTGTAAATATATAACTCTTGTTAACTTAATGGCACTTCTGCCTCCCATGCCCTACTTAATATTCATTAAAATAGTTTTTACTAACATACCTAAAATATTGGCTGAAAGCAGCCAATACATTTTTATGTGCTTTGAAGGAGACACCTCTGACCACCAACATACAATCACAGAGAAGACCTTGTATCCGCTGATCATGGAGCTGCTGAAGGAGGTGGCAACTGTGATTAGCAAAAGCATCCATGCTAGAATGTGTCTATGTTACCTAAAAGACAAAAAAAAAATATATATATATGTATGCAGTTATAAGCACGTGCTAAATTGTGTAGGCATATACACCAGAGCTGTTCTACGCAAAAGGATTAAATGTTATATTGTTTTAAAATGCAACCCAAATCACAGCAGACAGCCAGGTTTGCCAAAAGAGCCCCATTTCATTTTCTGACCAGGTAGCTTCCTTAACAAACTAAAGGCACACAGTAGACACGCTATATCTTGATTTTCCTAAAGCCTCTCATAATTAGAATACTATTTAAGGTAGTCCTCAGATTATGACCACTTGTTCAGGGACCAACGTTTTGATGGTGTCCAGTTTGCAATTATGAGGGTGCAGCAAGCTGCAGTCACATGATCGCAACTTCCCACGTTTTCTGCCAGCTCTTCATAAGCAAAGTCAATGGGGAAGCCACTAGGAATTCGGAAATGACTCCTATTGCTCCCTGCCTGCTTGCCTGCTACTGCTGTCTTCCCGCTGAAGGACCTGTGCAGCCCTGGGGTTACAACTGCAACACAGACTGCCGGGATCCCAATGCTAAGCGATGCAGTCACACGATGTTGTGCTTTATGACCGCATTGCTTAGCAACAGCAAGTCTGGTACCAATTGCCAAAGTAACCTGAAGACTATTTTTTATTGGCATTGGGATGCGTCCATGGGTGGCTTAAGTGAAACAGCCTGCAAATATGCAACTTAGCAGCAATGTAAGTGGAACGAACCCAGGCCATGAGCAGCAATCTAGGCAGGACATAGTGAACTGTAGGGGAGGAAGCAATTCCACAAAATGCCACAAAAATCCAAAGGTGGCACTTTGACAGGGTGAGCCAGGGCCAAGATGAAATATATCTGACGAGCTTATTGTGTCCCAAGCAGCCAAAGATGAGGCTGCAGACACTCTGCCAACTGAGACACAAGGAAGAAAGGGACGGCCCGACATCAAGAGAACTCTTGGGAAGAAGCTGAAGAAGGACGGATGAGATCCCGGCTCCTGGGGAGAAGGCCAGAGGCACCTCCCGCAGACGACCAGAGAGTGGGTGGGTGATGGGGCACCCAGAGCCGAGGGCGGGAAGTTAAAGAGCCACGGCCTCGGGACATCTTCCGAGAGGTGGTGGTCTTCAGGTGGTCCTCAGCTTACAACAGTTCATTTAGTGACTGTTCAGTTACAACATCACTGAAAAAAGTAGCATGGCCATTTTTCATACTTACAACCGTTGTAGCATCCCCCTGGTCATGTGATCAAAATGCGGAGGCTTGGCAACCGACCTGCATTTATGACGGTTGCAGTGTCCCCTTTTGCGACCTTCTGACAAGCAAAGCCCATGGGAAAGTCAGATTCACTTAACAATCATGTTACTAACTTCACAACGGCAGTGATCCACTTCACAAATGTGGCAAATGGGACAAAGTTCCCTTAACAACAGTCTTGCTTAGCAACAGAAATTTGGGGCTCCGTTGTAGCTCGAGGACCAGCTGTACATAATGGGCAAGATGAAGAAGTCTCAGCGTTTCCTTATTCTGGAAAAGGAAGGAAGGAAGGAGGACAGGAAGGAAGGAAGGAAGGAGGACAGGAAGGGAGGGAGGAAAGAAGGACAGGAAGAGAGGGAGGGAGGGAGGGAGCCAGCTCCCCTTACCGCCCCCCCAAAATCCCCCCAGAAAGAGCGACTCACGGCCAGGCGGGCGGAATCCCGGGCGGGGGAGGGGGGGACGGAGGAGGAAGAGACGAGCCGCGCGCCCCCGCCATTTGGACGCTTCCAAACGGGCACCCCCCCCCCCGCCGCGGCAAGACGTCGGCCACTCCCGGCCGGAAGTCGCCACCATAGAGAGGAGGCGGGACTCTACCTGCGCGCGGGTTCCCTTCCGCTCGGGCCGCTTCCGTCCGGGGCTGAGCCGGTCTGATCGCCCGTGGGAGGACGCGGCGGTCTCCCCACCCGCGAGCGGTTCGTGCTCCGACTGGCGGGTTTCCCCCCTCCCCCACCCCCAGGGCGGCCTCTTCCCGGCTGAGGAGGGGGGGGCAGTCCTTCCCCTCCAGGGCTGGGGGGTCTCGCTGTGGCCGGGCGTTGGGGGGGGAGACTGAGGGATGGGGGCGGGGGAAATAAAAAGCGCCGGTTGCCTCGGAGACCGGCGGGGGGGCGCTCTTCTCCTCCTCCTTCCCCCCCCCCGCCCGGAACTCTTTTCTTTCCGCATCTCTTGGGAGGGGCGGGGGCAGCGTTGCTTCCCCCCCCCTTTGTGGTTGTCAAGAATGAGGAGACAATTGCTGGCAGCGGCTGTGGCGGTGTGACGTTCCCTGTGGGCCGTTCCGAATAGAGAGTAATTCTCTATCGTGTGGTGCTGGATCGTTTTCTTCTTGGAAGTAGAATTCAATGCAGCATCAGATTTTTAATTCTGTTTTCAATTTATTTCTAGGATTTGTGGAGGAGCAGTGAATCAGACTTGGGAGAGAGAGATACAATTAGTTTTCCAGAATGGTGTTTTTTACGTGTAACGCCTGCGGAGAAGCCCTGAAGAAGGGACAGGTGGAGAAGCATCTGAATATGTGCCGACACTGTCAGTGTCTGTCTTGCATGGATTGTGGGAAGGATTTCTGGTAGGTTGAAACCGGCAGAGGAAGCTTTTCGATGGGCTTCAGCCGTTGCAGCATCAGGCCAGCCTTTTCCGAGCGTGAAACTTAAGCAGGCTAGCTTGCTACCAGCAAGGACCTTGCTAGTGGGCTGCCTGGCAGCTCCAGAGCTGTGAGCTGTTCTGGGATGTCTGAAAAAAGGCCCCGGTGTTGTTACCCTGGAGTTCTCCGGCATCCAGGCTGACCTGAAGGACACAGTTGAAGTATTGGAACTGTGGCTTATCCCCCTTTCTAGCCAAATCAGAAGCAGCTAAACTAAACAGTAAACATACTATGTATCTCAGATTATAGGGGAAGAAATCTCTAGGAACATCTGGGGAAGTAATAGAAAGGTTAATAGAGCCCAATGTGGGCAACCTATGGAAAAGAGACAGGAAATAAGAGAGTTAATATAATGTCGCATTTTGAGAAAAGGTAAAATTGAAAAGGGGAGGGGGGAGAGATTTCTTAAGGTCAGCCTAGATAATTTATTATCTCTACTTGAGCACAATTTTGAGTTCAGCACATAGTCAGAGTTTATTTCTTCCAGTATTGCATTGTATAGTGCTGGATTTTAGCAAAAATGACTCCGAGGGGTTTACCACTGAAAAAAACAGTAATAACAGAAAAAACCCTGCAAATTCATCAGCAATTACAAAGCAGTAAGTGTAATGGTGACTTCTCAAAGGCCCTCTGGAAGCATTCTGCCTTCAGCCACTTCCCAACACCAATAATGAGGCTGCCAATCTAATCTTGAGGAGGAGAGCACTCGGTAAGGGAGGGGTTGCTGCAGAGAAACATTGCTTGCGAATCCCTGCCCTTTTCCTGCCCAGCATTTGGACGGCATTGAAAGAGGTTGGCAGGCGGTCCACCCTGGAGAAGTATTCCGTAAGGAGGAGGTCGTTCTCTAAAAGCCTCTATGCCACGGGTGTCAAACTCGCCATGTCACGTGACATGTCACGACATATCGCGACTCTCTTTGCATTGCCGGCAATGGGGTGGGCGCGGCTTCGGTATGATGAAATCAGCCCGCGGGCCTGCAGTTTGACACCCCTGCTCTATGCCAAGCAAGTTCTTTGCAAAGACCAGCCTTTTCCAACCTTTTCATCCTGGAGAAAATCTTGACACAATTTTTAGTCTCAAGGGACTCCAGAATAATAATAATAATAATAAAAATACTTGTACTTCACAATACAACTCATTTCTAACCTGCAAAATCCAAATTTTGCAATATTTACAGAGCAGACTCGCAGGCCAGCAGCTGAGTGGGGGCAGGCAAACTTTCCCAGCATTGCACTGCATAAGAAAAAACAATTATTATTCCCCCCCCCCCCAGTCATGCCCTCTTGTGGGGCAGTTGGGAAAAAAGCTAGCTTAGACCTACCAAAGTCTTTCAAGTTAATTATGCTGCTTTAATATATTTCAGCAAAATGTTTGGGAAGAGCTCTGCCAAATGCCTTCCTTTAGGGGTTATTTATATCTGCACTTATAATGCAGGGATGATGATTATAAACACCATGTGAAGTGCCTAAGTGAAGATCAGAAGTATGGAGGAAAGAATTATGAAGCCAAAGTCCCCAAAGGAGACGTCAAGCAGCAGGAGTGGATTCAGGTGAAGTAAACCAAGCACAGCAGAAATTGCATTTAATTTTTTAAAAAAACATTTTCATTATTTGTTATACCACACGCTTTCTATAATGGTGCCCAAGGCCCAGTAAAATGCAATAAAACTAATGTAATATAATGCTGTGTCTAGAGTTATAAATGTATTACATGAACCTCTTCGGCATTTTAACTATATTTAATCCTGTAGCAATTCACAGTATAAAATTAAATGCGACAATAGGAAACATAAAATGTTCTACTGATGTATTAACCAGTTGTCAACTCTGCAGTGAAGCCATCTTGCTCCTTTTCAGTTGCCACAGCAATGCTTGCTGTGGAATTCTGGGAGTTGAAGTCCACATGCCTTAAAATTGTCAAGGTTGAGAAACACTGGTCTAAACAATTCTCTGTCCCGTGGGAACCAAGGTCATTTCAGATTGAGGGGAGGGGGTTGAGCTTAATGTTAGAAAGCCTGCCAAGCTATTCTATTGGGAAATGTGGTCAATTGCATAGTTTCTGGGGTGGGAAGTTTAACTTTGTAATATTGTTACTTTTGGAAGGAATTTTAGTCTTGGTTTCATTTTTGACTGTGCTGATACTTTGTAGCCAATAAACATGCTCTTAGAGGAAAGCCTGGGGTTCTGCTTTAATTGGTCTCATCAGAACCATGAAAGCAGTCACATTAGTCTTGTTTTTCATTTGCAGAAGATTCATGAAATTATAAAGGAAAGTAACATTAATATCAAAGTTCGAGATATTTTACAACAGATGTATGCATATGACAATATTCCACGAAAAAAACGCAAATTTCAGGTATGTTAATGAGTTAAGTATTTATGCCCCAAACCTGACGTAGTATAGTGCAGATTTTGTTTATTACGGTTCCTTAAAGCAAAAGTAACTTCTTTTAAATAAATTCTCTTAAAGAATCTGCATAATTCAGGGTTTCTTAAATTATACTGTGGAAAACAAGACCCTTTTTTTAAAAAAAAAACTTATTTAGATCCATTTAATTACACATTTGTGCCTGCCAGTGGACCCGCTGCTCGAACCCTCCCTCGGGCATCATGGCCCCATCAGTGGACGTGTCTGGGGCTAAGGAGCGGAGACGCCACTGCGGGCCACCTCAGCAGAGTCAGAAGACATATAGTTCCACTTTGGCCACTGGTCACCAGCGCTGTACCCTTGAAGAGCTAAAGCCCACAGCAAAATTACAGCAACCTATTTGGAAAATTCTATACATTTGGTTGTTAACAGACTCTGGAAGAAGTAGTTAACAACAGGTAGTTAAGTAGTTAAGAACAGGTAGTTATGGCCTTATGCTGATTCATTAGTTCTGTCAGAAAACACATTTGTGTTCTGGTTAAATAGAGGGTTTTCTCTCTCTCTCTCCCCCTCCCCCCCCCCCGGTCTGCCCAAATAGAACTGGATGGCCAACAGCTTGAAAATCCACAATCCTACTCTACAGGATCAAGTATGGGATATTTTTTCAGAAGCAGTGAGAAAGGTAAGCAAACCAATTGCTGCTGCATTTGGAATAAATTGTGATACGCGCATGGGGGCAGTGCAGGAGGAAGCTTGGTTTGGGACGGGGCTGGGCTCAGGATGGGTCCTGGCCTACTGTCCAGTGGGAAGTAACAGGATTGCTTTTGTTAAGCCATGCGGTCACATGATGTGGTGTTTTACGACCAGATTGCTTAACTGTGAAAATTACTGTCATCAACTGAGGACTTGTATGTGTATTTGGAAAAATAGAAGGGTGGATTTCTTTAATATTAAAAAAGATTAAAAGAAATAAACTTGAAATTTGTGAAGCCAGATAAAAATTGTTCTATTTGGCCTTGAGAAATGTATTGAAAATCTCCTGATAAGAGAGACATTTTTTTCCCTCTAGCAAGCTTTTTGGTAAATGAAAAATATAGCTCCTGCCTCTCTAGCTTTCTTTATTCAGTTAGGGAAGGTTTTCATTTTCTTATTTTCTGAGCAAACCCAAAAATTCTGAGCAAACCCAAAAAATCTCAGAAATCTGAGCATAAATAGATTAAGAGAATATCTTCTGCTGTTCCCACACAGGAAATACTGCCATGTGAGTCATGCAGAACTCTGCTTTCCAATGTGTAGGTGGAAATATTCATCTTAATTTCGGCGAAACAGTTATTTCTGTCAAATGCTTTTGCTGCTTTGTTATCAATTTGATTTGAAATGCCCATTCCATGCTGGAATAGTATGTTTTATATTGTTACATTCATTGCTCCTGTGTTTGCATTTTATTCTTTTTTGTTATTTTTTTGTTTTGGAATATTTTTAGTTGTAAGAGACCTTCAACCATTGAAACAATAAAAGTGTAGTAGAAGTAATAAAAAGAAGAAATGTGCTAATACATACTGGACTTGTCATGGT